CTGAATGATAGCTTTGCTGGATAAAGTAGTCTTGGTTGTAGGTTCTTACTGTTCATCACTTTGAATATTTCTTGCCACTCCCTTATGGCCTGCAAAGTTTCTGTTGAGGCTTGGCTCCAGCTCTTAGGCCTCCGCTGCTGAAAGTAGGTTCTGGCCTTTGCTTACAATGTTGCGATCCTGCTGGTTGAAGCCGGGTGCAGACTAATGCAGGTTTCTGGGGTTTTTTTAGCTTCCATATTTGTAACTATGTTTCAAACTGCAGCTCAGAGGCCTGCGGCAGGCGGGGAATGTTGGAGCCCTCCGTCACTGAAGCAAGAAAACCTCATGTTAGTTTCAAGCTGCCTGGCTGCCGGCCGCCATCTTGGCTTGTAGTTAATTTGCATATCTCACTGATTAGCCAATGGGAAGCATAGCGGTCATACGCCAATTACCATGTTTCTCTTTTATTAGATAGGATAGGTGAGGAAAGAAAAAAGAGCTAAAAGACTTTCCTTCCCACATCACTTCAGAGAACTAAGTAATAAATCTTTATAAATACCAGTGTTGCTCAAAGGGAAATTATGCAGAGAAAGAACCTTTTTATGTAGGGACACAGAACGGTATAGTGGAAAAGAGCAGTACCTTTATTTAGAGCAGTTGTTCTCAACCTTCCTAAATGCTGCGAACCTTTAATACAGTTCCTCATGTTGTGGTGACCCCCAACCATAAAATTATTTTCGTTGCTACTTCATAACTGTAATTTTGTTACTGTTATGAATCGTAATATAAATATCTGATATGCAGGATGTATTTAGGCGACCCCTGTGAAAGGGTCGTTCGACCCCCAAAGGGGTCGCGACCCACAGGTTGAGAACTGCTGATTTAGAGGCACAAAACCTAGGTTATTTCCTTGTGCTGCTATTGGCCTGCTTTGTAACTTTTCACTGATTTCTCCAGCTACCTGACTACAACCATAAAAACTATTTTTTTCCTTTTTTGTTCCAGGAGATTTTGATGAGTTCACTCACGATAATAATGACAGTATCTTGAAATGCATAGCAGACGATCTTCGGAATTGCTTACCTCTAGAAACCATGCTTTCCTCAGAACGTCTAGCCCTCCAAAAAGTAAGTATATTATTATTAATTTACTCTTAGTGCTACTTGAGGATTCTCCAGTTCTTCCCTAACCCCGTAGTCTCTTCAGACTGATAGTCCTGAATTCTGCTTTAAATAATCTTTCATGTAGTGCTTCAACCATGTTCCCGATTCTTTTGAGTCTCTAAGCCCCCTGGCTTCCCAGTATTATTCACTCAACAGACATTTTTTTGAGGATATCTGTTTGCCAAGCACTCAACCTCTTTCTAAAATCACAATCCAACAGTAATCTGGTCCTGCCTGTATCACTGTCCTGATTTTCTCTTCCCTGTTTCATTTCCTTCACTTTTATCAATGGTGAAGTTTACCTCTTTGTTTCCTTCTCCTACATTTGCGTTGTACAATTTTTGCTTATTCTTCTATTTGTTTATTCCTAGAATTAGTTCTCATTTATCTTCTCCAAACAACCCCTCATTGAAGTCACTTCAAATCCCAACTCCTATGGGATTACAAATGCTATACATATTGTTTCCTAAAGCAAAGCTAATGATAATAATGTCTTCTCCCACTGATCTGAAAATAGCAACCCTCCATATGGTTTTTCTAAGCAGAGGAACTAAATCCTATACATTTTTAACAGTATTGTGCACGTTGTGAATAGTTAGCATATCTTAGTAAACATCTTCTCATTCAAGTGGATTCTCAAAGGAGGAAAATTATGAGTAGTATTAAAACTGAGAGAAATAGCTAATATAGTTTCGATGTTATTGACAAAACAAACTTATTGGTATCATGGTATACCACAATACATAAAATGAGGAAAAAGTATTCATTGCATGTTAATGATCAACCCACAATTCCATATGCTAAATTTCACACACTTTTTCTTTTCTTTCCTTCTGGTCCTTGTGTTTGTTCATACATTTTACGTACTTGTAATATAAATTGTGTGTGTGTGTGTGTGTGTGTGTGTGTAGATATAGATATAATTTTGTAAGTTTCCAAGCAGATAGGTTGATACTTTACCATAATCGAGGTAGAAGGAATCAGACAAAATTTTTTTTCTTTGTAGCCACTTGCTGTTACCACTAGTATTAATAAAGGGCCATAATTTGTAAGCATGAAGGTTTACTAACATTATTATTTGAAAACTTTTCCTCTAAACAAAGATTTCTTGCTAAGTATTTTGATGAGTAAGTCACTGACATGGAGGACTCAGAAGAGCTGGTATTAGTTTCCATTTTGACCCCTCTTACTAGCTACTGTCATTTCTTTGGAGAAATCTCTCTGGGTATCAGTTTCTGTACTTGCAAAATATACTGCTTTGGATGGACAAGATGGTCTCAAAATACTCCTTTCAACTAAAATTGTATATATTTCTCATTGCCATGTTTTGCATAATTACAGGTCAAATAAAAAGTTGTCCACTAACAAAGTGACTCCCATTTGTGTAACTTCATTGAGACTCATTACCTGAATGAGCAGGTGAAATCCATTAAAGAATTGGGTGACCATGTGAGATGGGCACTTCTAATCTGGATGGCAGAGTGTCTCTTTGACAAGCACACTCTGAGAGACAGTGATGGGAGCTCAGCCTTAGACCGGCTTCCCATAGCCACAGGGGTCACTTCCCTGGTCACCAAAGCAGTACATGCATGTTAGTGTTACCTTTATCTTTTTCTTATGTTCTTTCATTTGTATCCTTCCTTCAAATGAGTAAATTGGTCCCCTCACACCCCCCAAAAGTCTCAGAAATAAAATGAAAGAAGGGCAGAATTGCTGATGTAAGTGAAACTAGTCTTTCTGTGCCTTGTTGCTGGCAGAATTTTAGCATATGAACGACTGATGTTTTTCCTTATCCTATATAATAAAAGGCTAATATGCAAATAGACCGAACAGCAGAACAACCGAACAACCGGTTGCTATGACGTGCACTGATCACCAGGAGGCATGTGCAGAATATGGCGGGTGTCGGCCATGGTGGGATGGTGGAGCAGGTGAGCGGGGGTGCCAGACCAAGGTGGGGCGCCAGTCACTGTCATCAGGGCAAGTCTCTGGTGATTACTGAAAATTCTTTGCTCCTGTGCACTGAGGTCCCACCCGGCACTTGCACTGGCTGCTGGCACCAGCCCTGCTCGCACCTGCTATTGGTGCCGGAGCTGCTGCATGCACCCACTGCCAGCGCCCAGCACCGGCCCCGATCGCTCGGCACCATCAGTGGTTGTGAGCGGTGGCTGCCAGCCCCGATCACCCCTACGGGCTTCTCCACCTTCCCCTGCTTTTAAGGGGAGATTGGGGCTGGCAGCTGCCTCTCACACCTGCTGCCAGTGCCCTGCGCTGGTCCCGATTGCTTGACCCCATCAGCAGGTGCGAGCGGCGCATGCCGGCTCTGATCGCCCCTAAGGATTTCTTCACCTTCCCCTGCTCCTGAGGAGCAATCGGGGCAGCAGCTACCACTTGCGCCTGCTGACAGTGCTGGCCCTGCTTGCACCGCTGCTGGCACCAGCGCCAATCGTTTGGCGCCTTCAGTGGGTGAGAGCAGGGCCAGCGAGTCAGTGCGTGGGAGTGGCGGTGGCAGGAGCAGAGCTGCAGGTAGACGGGACCAGGGGGCCACAGTGGGAGGGGCCAGGCAGGGGCATGGAGGATGGACCGAGACCTAGCCCTGTGCCCACCGCAGCCTCACAGCCCACAGTTCTTTTCAAGTTGCACGAATTCGTGTACTGGGCCCCTAGTCTATATATATAAATGGCTAATATGCAAAGTGTCCCCTTGGGAGTTCGACTAGGAGACTGGGAGTTCGATCACTCGCTATGACGTGTGCTGACCACCAGGGGGCAGCGTGAAACGAAGGAAGGCCCTGGCCGGCAGCTGGGGAAAGAAGGCCCCAATCAGCCCTGATCGCTGGCCAGGCCTACGGACCCTACCCGTGCATGAATTTCGTGCACTGGGCCTCTAGTTTAGCAATAAAAAGAGACTTCTTTGTACTTTGTTTCTTTTGATGTGTTTCTTCTCTCCACCAGATCCAGCAGCAGCCAGAACCCACAGTTCATGTGGATGCATTCCTTTATGATGAAGATTCTATTGATTCATTATGTGAGGAAGGAAAAATGAGCAGAAACTATTGTGTGGTGTGTGGCTCATACCAGACAGCACCTTTAGGTCAGCACTCAAGTATGCAAACCTGATGACTTTGTGTGTACTTTTCCTTAGATGTCTTGAGTATACAAATTACTGACGGTCTTTCAATGTTTTCTGAAAGCAAAGGCCAACCTACAGATAGCTATTACCAATTATTGCAGTTAGGGAGACTAAATGGAAATATTGTCTAGCTAGGAAGTCAGGGCATTTAATGTCTCCCAGAAGGGTATCTCTACTTTTTACAGTAACTGGTTGTTTTTTGTTTTTTGGGGTTTTTTGTTTTTTAAAAAATATATTTAATTGATTTTTTACAGAGAGGAAGGGAGAGGGATAGAGTTAGAAACATCGACGAGAGAGAAACATCGATCAGCTGCCTCCTACACACTTCCCTCTGGGGATGTGCTGGCAACCAAGGTACATGTCCTTGACTGGAATAGAACTTGGGACCCTTGAGTCCGCAGGCCGACGCTCTATCCACTGAGCCAAACCAGTTAGGGCTCACAGAAACTGTTTAATCACCAGTGACTTTGCAGTTCCAGGAACTAATCAGAAGTGACTAAGTACAAGGAAACTGACTTATCCTTTCCATATAAAGCATGGAAGTTCACATATAAAGCATATGCAGATTTATTTACAAAAGAAATATAGTTATATTAGTTTAATATAGTCAAGGGGACTGAATGTTCTCCCTATGAAAACATCTACTTGAGAAGTATTGTTGGACGAACAATATTGTTGGATGAACATGGACTCAGAGGACAATGATGGATAATCTTGAGAAAGAGTTTATTCAGGCCATGATTTGACCTAGTAGAGCATCTCTGGTCCATAACAGGAAACCAACTCCAGTGACAGAAATTTTCCTGCATCTCTGTCCCTCAGATGCAGTACCTGTGTCCCAAATAGCAAGCTAGACTGACTCGATGCTCCTTCAGTGTAGCTCTTCTGCTAATATATTCTTTGTTCAAACTGGATATGATTGTTTAGGCTGTTACTTTAGACATGCTATTTCAATCTCCCCACTACCTTAGGTTTATTGCTTAGAGTGCGCTATTCTCCAGGTGTGTTTCCTTATTCTCATACTACTGACCCTAGATAATATTCTCAAAAGTTTACTGTTACCAAATTGGAAATACGTTGCTAATAAAAATATATTGTACCTGTATTATAATTGGGGTTAAATGTCTCTGATTTACTGATTTAAGATTTATTTATTTATTTAAATTATTTATGTATATTTCAGAAGGGAAGGGGAAGGAATAGAGAGATAGAAACATCAGTGATGAGAGATAATCATTGATTGGCTGCCTCTTGCATGCTCCCCACTGGGGATCGAGCCCACATCCCAGGCATGTGCCCTTGACCAGAATCAAACCTGGGACCCTTTAGTCCACAGGCCGATGCTCTATCCACTGAACCAAACCAGCCAGAGCTAAGGTTATTTTTTAGGTAGCCCTTTATGGGGTAAAGTCCATTGGTTTCCATTGGAGGTAGTTGAAACTCAAATAGAGAAGGACTTAAGAACAATAGAGGGAAAACTAAAAAGTGAATTATAACTATAACAGCATATAAGACCTGATTTATCAAAATGTATAGAAGAGCTGTGTTCAACAAATAAAAATTTGAAGAATAGAATTCATTTTCCCACCAAAATCAATTTGTAAATAGTGGCTGGGTATCCACACCCACCCAGATAACCATAATGAATCTGAAAAAGTTATCAGGATGTGGGACTCTCCTTCCCTTTTTGACACAGCGCTTATCTAGCTGCTAATGATGACTCTGTAGCCCAGGGCAGAAGCACTAATGTGGCACAGATGGTAGTAAAGGTGAAGATCCTAGGGAGAGAAGGACTATGGTGGTCAAAGGCCCCCCATTACTTCTGAGGTCCAGTCATACCCTTTATTTTCATCCAGCTGAGTAGCCTGTGTGCTTCCATTTTCTTTGCCGCAATCTATTAGTTATGACCAAAGTTTCTTTCCTTCTGGACCATTATGTTACATAAAACATAGCATAGTAAGTTTTTGTGTTACCTCAGTTTCAGAAAGAAAGAAGGAAGGGAGGGAGGAAGGGAAGGAAGGGAAGGAAGGGAGGAAGGAAGGGAAGGAAGGGAGGAAGGGAGGAAGAAAAAACATACTCAGGCTCTCTCAGATATTTCATTATAGAAATAAAGGAGTGAGAAAATGGGGTAGGAGGCTAGAAGTTATAGCAATTAAACGAAGGGAAATCAGAACAGTGTGGGGAGTATCTTAACCTTCCACATTGCCCTCTCTGCACTCAGGGCTGCCACATTGCGCACCTCCTGAGTGGCCATTCATTTGGTCGTCCACAGTCTGTGCAGCAGTGTGTGGCAGTTCTGTGATTGGCTCTGGGGTAAGGTGAGAAAGCCAGATGGAATGGGAGTTGGGAAGCAGTCCCAACAAACAGCAGGTCATAGCGGCAGGAGGGGGGCGGGGGAGGAAATGAGGGACATAGGATAGGGACAGGCAGCTGAGTAGCTGTTCCCTTAGAGGTCTTTTAAAATGTCAGAGACTGCCCTAACCAGTTTGGCTTAGTGGATAGAGCATCAGCCTGCGGACTCAAGGGTCCCGGGTTTGATTCCAGTCAAGGGCAGGTACCTTGGTTGAGGGCACATCCCCAGTAGGGGGAGTGCAGGAGGCAGCTGATTGATGTTTCTAACTCTCTATCCCTTTCCCTTCCTCTCTAAAAAAATCAATAAAATATATTTAAAAAAACCAAATAAGTAAAATAAAATAAAATGACAGACTTTATGTTTATTCTTCTCCAATACAACTCAGAGTGAATGAGTGAAAAATTATCACATTAATTTTTTCTAAATAACCTCTGACTGCCTTTCATTGAATAAAAAAAATAAAAACATGAAATATCCTATATAATAAAAGCCCAATATGCAAATTATCCCCTTGACGGGGAGTTCGACCAGGGGGCGGGGCCGGCTGGTCAACTATGGGAAGGTAGGCCCCTGCTGGCTTGCACTGGGCCTCTAGTTCTTTATAAATATAGGTGAAGATTTAGAAATACAGAATTGAATTGTTAGTACCCACGCAGAATTTGTTCATTTTGTTCTAATTCTCCAGGATTTATTTCTCATTCCTTCTCTCTCATGGAATTGAAGTTCATATACCATCACGTACTCCCTGATCTGTCGGGAAAGCTCTTGGTTGACGTCGGCTCCAGGCTTGGCACAGTCCTTTATGGGGTAAAGTCCAGCTTATGGACATACTCAACATTTGAAAAATAATTTCTTCTCCTACTAACAACAGTTTTGCCTGCCACCATCCAAGGTGACAGCTTGGTTTTATTTATTAGAGTAACAATAATAAAATTAAAGTCGTATATTGAGTTTGGAATTTCAAAGGCCAGCTCTCTGATTTCCTTTATTAGTTTGTCTCTGTGACTCAGAGGAAGAAATATCAACAAAACAGAAGCAGGTAACCCTCAAACACTTTGCCGCTTTGTAGTCACCACTGCCCTTTAACTCTGTTTTCCTTGTTCTGTGCTAAAATTGTATACTAGCATTGGTAAGCGCTCTTATAAAACTGACAAGTTTACTTGACCTAGGAAATTGCCCATGGCCATAAGCAAGTTACCTAACACCTCTGGGCTTCAAGTTCCTCCCCTGTAAGTGAGCAAATGAAATGATATCCAAGGACACATCTTGCTCCAATTTTCTGTCATCCAAAGTTTGAATGTAGACATTTGTTTCTCAAATATCACATCAATATGACTTTTTAAAAAATTTAAATCACGAGTGCTCTTAATGTTCTTAAATGGTTTAATCAAAAAACTGAAATGTGGTTTCTGGTTGTCATTAGCAGACTTGTTAAAACATGTGGCCAACAGCAGGAGAGGCTCATGCCAGAAACAGGCACTATCAGTTCCCAGCATCGTTGCCCGCCCTAAACAGGAACAGTTAACTCTTTGATGCCTCATTTATTGTTCAGTACTAAAACTTTTATTCTGTGATTAGAAAAGATAGCCATAATGGAAAAGTACACAATTGTCAGGTAGTTTTCTTTGGAGAACATTAGAGATTATGATTGTTTACCATATTTTGTCCACTGTTGTCCATTTGTTTTTTTATTTGTTTAAAAAGTATATAGCTGAAATAATTGGCTATGCAGGTGTGTGGCAGTATTAAATAATTTAAACATATTGTCGTTGTTCTTATTAGGTCACTGATTCAGTCAACAGATTTTTGGAAGGCAGCTATGCTCACCACTATACCACCAACGCAACCTAGTCAACAGATTTTTCAATGCCTACATATGCTCTGTTGGACATATTCTAAAATCCATGATGAGCTGTAAATATAAATTGGTTTACACCTAGGTGTTAGTTGATGTAAAATGGTATTCAGAATATGATTTGACCATTTCTTCCAGATATTGTTCTGTTATTGAAACCAAAATAGATACATAACAATATACAGTCAATTCTTGATTATCCTTGAAAACTAATTGGTCATTATTTTGGCAGATTGCCAGGCTGACTTCCATAAGCCAAATAGAACATACCTCCAGCAACCTCCCTCTGTTGTCAGGCTGCATGATTTTCCAGTTATGGTCTCCACAGGTTTATTCCTTTTTGGCTTTTCCCTGAAGCAACTTCCAAAGAAATTACAGAAATAGGGTGGTAAATGGAGAATCTATATATGATCACTTTCCTCATTTTCACTTTTGTTGAGTACACAGTTTTATCAGAAAAAGTAAGAAATCAATCTTTTAAAATATAATTACTTTTAAATAATGGAAATTACTAAATAATGGAAAAGAACTTCACTAATTACTAGTCAGTAAGTCTTCAAGTTCTTAAAGTTGTCAGTTTTAAATCAACTACAAGATGTTATTTACCCTTACTTTATTGAATTCTATTTTTTAAAGTTTGACTTTTTAAATTTCAAGTAGAAGTAAACCACAATAAAAAGTTAATTCATTTGTATCCTAATATATTCTCATATTTCAGGGTTATCTTTACAGTTCAGCATTGCAACTGTATGGAGTAGAATTGAATGGAGACTTTTGCCAATTGCAGGAAATGATCATAAAAAAATACCAGTTCACTGACAGAATAAAGGTACCCTTTCAAATATATATTTTGTTGTTCATTGTATAGCATAATTTAGGCAACTTCTTCTGCATTATAATTGGAAAATCTTTTTGAATTTATTCTTAGTTGCTATTGTGTAGAAACAGATTTGAGTTGACTTAATATTTTAAAACATTAATAAAGATTAATTATTATCATTATATCCCACTCACATATTTCTCTCCTCCCGATTTTATTAGGAAGTAGGTTTTTTTCTTAGTTTGCTTCATATCAGCTTTAATAATTCTAGCAGCATTTTTGAATCTCAAGATGTTGGTCAGAAGTGTATTTAATTAATCTCTGAATGTAGAAAGTAAGCAAACAGGTTAGTAATGCTCACAACTCTTTATCTTCTGTTTTGTAAGCTTTCAGGAGGAATTGTGGCTGCCACAGAATAGCAATTTATAGGGAAATGATGCCCTAGTTTGGGCTTCAACAGAGTTTTCTGTCTTTCTTATATGTTAGCAGTTTTTAACCTTTTCCATCTCATGGCACACATAAACTAATTACTAAAATTCTGTAGCACACTAAAAAATACATTTTCTTTTTGCCAATATGACCTAAAAAAAGATATAATTTTGATTGAACTACAAAAAAAGTAATAATAGCAATTACCTACATTTTTTGCTCCAAAGTGACTTTTAAAAAAAATCAGGTGCCTATACTTGTATATAAGGATTTCTAGTACCAAGAATTAACCAATCAGATATATCCTTATTAAGCGATGTGACTAAAAAGATGCAACTCTATTTTACGACCTATACTAAAGGCCCGGTGCACAAAATCGTACATGGGTGGGGTCCCTCGGGCCGGCCAATTGTGGGGAGGGACTGCAGGAGGTTGGCTGTGGGAGTGCAGTGCATTGAACATCTGCTCCCTGGTTATGAGTGCATGTCATAGCTATGGACCTGTCGTAACGGTCACTTAGGCTTTTATATATATAGAGATATTTATAGTTCAAGACAGGGCATTCACACCAACAACTATTGGCGTGTTGGCTGTTGTCATTTTTTAAAAAAATATATTTTACTGATTTTTTTACAGAGAGGAAGGGAGAGGGATAGAGAGTTAGAAACATCGATCAGCTGCCTCCTGCACACTCCCTACTGGGGTTGTGCCTGCAACCAAGGTACATACCCTTGACCGGACTCGAACCTGGGACCCTTGAGTCCACAGGCTGGCGCTCTATCCACTGAGCCAAACCGGTTAGGGCTCATTTTTTAATTTGATAATCTAAGGGAAAAGAAGTCAGTGTCCCTCACTAAATAATCAGGTATTTATTGCATGTTTTAAAAATTCTTGTGGCACACTGGTTGAAAATCGCTGCTATATATAAAGGGAAAAATAACAGAAAAGGGAAAGGAAGTTTTTTGGTTAATGAAGTAATACTTATCATTTCAGTAATGATCCTTTATTTTTATACACACACACACACACACACACACTAGGGACCCAGTGCACAAATTTGTGCAACTTAAAAGGAACTGTGGGCCACGAGGCTGTGGTGAGCACAGGGGTGGGTCTTGACCCATTCTCCACGCCCCCACCCGGCCCCTCCTGTCCGCTGTCTACTGGCAGCCACATTCCCGCTGCCGCCTCTGATCCCATGCGCTGACAGTGCTGGTCCTGCTCGCATGGAGCGATTGGGGCCGGCGCCAGCAGCAAGTACAAGTGGGGCCAGCACTGTCAACAGGTGCGAGCAGCGGCTACTGCCCAGATCGCCCCTCAGGAGCAGGGGGAGGGAGAAAAACACACAGGGGCGATGAGGGCCGGCAGCCACTGCTCACAGCCACTAACAGTGCCAAGCAGTCGGGACTGGCACTGGGCACCAGCAGTGGGTGTGAGCGGGCCCTTCGCCAGCAGCGGGTGTGAAAGGCAGCTGCTGCCCCAGTTGTCCCTCAGGAGCAGGGGGAGGTGGAGAAGCCCTGAGGGGCGATCAGGTCTGGTGCTGGGTGCCGAAAGCAGGTGAGCGGTGGCAAAGAATTTTCAGTAACCACGAGAGGCTCGCCCCGATGACCCGCCTTGGTCTGGTGCCCCCACTCACCTCCACCATCCTGCCACGGCCAGTGCCCACCATGTTCCACACATGCCCCCTT